TATCAAGAACGATTTCGATTTTTCTTTTTAATTTTATAAATTGAAAGCAAAAAATGTCGGAAATAGCATCAAATTTTAGAATAAGTTTAGATTTGTTCGAATTGGTCACATTGGGTACGAATTATAGCCTTCAATGGGACAATGAAACCGTCACAAGCTGCCCGAATGTTGCTCTGCGGTATTTTGGTCCATTCCCGGCGAAGCGCTTGCTTGAGGTGATCGACACTTTGGTATTTTTTAGTGCCAAACTTGCTTTCCAAAATACTTCAGACACAATAGTCCAACGGATTATCCATTGTGCACTGGAGATGGAGCGAGGAACCTCATTTTGTAACCATGTTTGGGTGGTGCGTGCTGAGTGCGATGGTGCTGAGGCCTGTTGGAATGTCCAAGGTCTGCGGCCAAAATCTTTGCGTGTCAAAGGCTTTTTATACACCCTCCAGAATATTTTCGCGATAATATTCGGCATTTATTCTGATACCAGTCGAGCGGAGAGCGACCACCTGCTATTATTGCGGCCCACACCATCACCATGGCCGGCGCTTGAATTCTGGTGGCCAACCGAAGGTGCACATTTTCAGCTGACCTCTTTTGCAAGTAAACACTATCATTTTGTTTATTTACAAACTGCTGGACAACGAATGTTTCCTCATCGGAGAAAACCAAATTTGGCAGTTCACTACTTTCGGCTAAGAGAAGCAATTCTTTAGCTCTTTTGCGTCCACTTTCTTTCGGTTGCGGTGTAAGTTCTTGCGCTTTTTGGAATTGCAATAGCTTTACCCCGATCTCATTTTTCAATATTTGGAATATTGCGATATGTTCAACTCACGAGCCATTTTTCGAGGCGGGTTTCGATCTAGTCGCTTTTTTCCTTTTCGAACCATTTCTGCTGATGTTGCTGTTTTTTTTCGTCCACTTCCTTGACGTCGGGCTACGCTACCAGTATCACGGTAACGAGCGATGGTACGAGACACAAAAGATTTATTCACATTTAAATGCTGGAGTGCTCTAACGATAGCCACTTGTGGTTTTCCAGCCAAATCTAAAGAAATCACACTATCACGCTTGAATTCCATCGCGAATAACTTTTTTTTCTGGATAATTCTCATCAAAATGCTTTTGTACGCTTGTAAACAATATAATAAGCTGTCACAGGAATAATTTCAACAGCTGTCGGACGAGTGGCTTAGAAATGACAGCAGTCTGAAGTTGGTTACAGTTTTTTCATCTCACCATGTATTCTAGATCAAGTTCCAATGTGGGTCTCCAAACAAAAAAATTGTGTACAAAAAAAAAAACAAATATTATTAGTTTTGGTTCGTAAAAAAACTTTTTTTTTTATTTTCAACAAATTTGGCACTTTTCTCGAATTTGCTTTGTTTTTTTACAGTAGCCAATCCGTCAGATGTGCTAAAATTCAATAAATATTCTAAGAGGATTTGATAGTATTCGTTTTGCATATAAAAATGTCAATTGAGTTTGTCATTGGTGACATTAAACTCTTTGAAATCCTTGACTATTTGAAATGGGACCTCAATACATTTAAGATTATATTTGATATCTAATGGAATATTTTCCTCATATATAATGGATATATAGATTTCTTTTCTTTGGTGTAGAATATTTTGACTTATTTCGATCCCATTTAAAGAAAGTCTTTAACCTAATTTGGAAAAAAAAAGCACAAAACCCCCATTGGTGACTAGCACGAGCATTAAATTTTCCGATGAAAATAATCCTCGAATTGTTATCAATCAAATTCCCGAAGAGGTTGATTCCTAAAATAAAATTGCTTCTATGAAATCTTAATATGAAAGAGGAAAGAACTGGCCCCCTATATTCTGGTTACTTTGCGATGTGATCTAGGCCATAAAATATTGATGAAATCATAACATAGATATTATATTTTCCAAAACGTCTATAAAATGCAGACATTAAAACCTATTTTTTTATTTGTAGCAAAGAAATTTGCCAAAAAATTAGGGTGTGAATAACAAGACCACACCTTGGTCTTTTGTTTGCCTAAAAAATCCCTAATATATTCACGTGTTTTTATTTTTTCTTAAATCAAAAACAATGGTTGGTTTTTGTTTTAACTTGTTCAAATTTTAAGCGTTTGTGTGAATTGGAGACAAAATTTTGCATAAATGAACTAAATATTTGTGTTGTTAATTCGCGATAATTTTTCTAGCAGCGGTCGATGACTTGGAAGGTATCAATTTAAGAAAATAATTCAGGTCAAGTTGAATGAAGTTTTTTTTTTTTTTTTTTTTTGATTAAATAGATTTAATAATTAATAGTCTAATTAAATTTGCACGAAATATTTGAGCTCAACACAAATCAAGCTTTTTAAAGTTGAAGCGTCTTGCTACATAAAAGCGAACAAAAACAAAAAAAAAATAATAAAACAATAAATCAAGTAAATTTACAATAAAAAAAGAAGGCGACAACAAATGTCCCAAGGTGCAAATTAGTTGTATGGCCAGCAACAATCATATTTTTTACATCTTTCATTATCTTGGAGGTCAAAATATGAATGATAAATACCATTAAATAAAATATTCGCCGACAGAAATAAAATATGAAACTCCTAAATTATAAGCTGTTACAAAAATAAATTATCCAAAAAAAATGTTGAAATATATATTTTTTGGAAATGTGTACGAAAATTATTTAATGCTACACAATTTTGTTCAATTTGGTCTTGAGTGAGAAGATAGTGGCAGGAATCTAAAATTTGGTATTAAGGTCGCTGTTCATGTGTTGCCTGGACATAATTTCCCAAGTGTGTACTATAATTGTACGAAAAGTACTAAACAGTACTATATTTGATATTGAGGTATCTCTTGATATCTGCGATTGAGATATAGAGGTGGTTTTAGAAATGTGTGCTATAATTAATCGAAAAGTACTAAATGGTACTTATTTCTGAACAGATTTGATCTATATCAATATCTATGAGATACCAGAAAATGTGCGTAAGGTACGATACCAGGTATTTATGTATTCCACATCATCTAATTCGATAAAAAAAAATTGAGATATGAAATATTTAAAGAGAATCGAACATTTATTTCCCCTTTTAGGCGGATCATTTTTTTTTTCTTTTGTGAGGGTTGTAGTTGTTCAAAATATTGACCACTTTGTAGGGGAGGTACCAGAAGGAGTGAGCCAATACATTCTATCTTCACACCAGATATTATGTTGGTAGAAATATTGGTATGTGAAAAATTTGAAAAGAATTTGACGCTTATTTGGCATTTTATGAACATTTTGGTTATTCAAAATTTCGACAACGTTGTGGGGGGGAGGTACTAGAAGGAGTAAACCGATATATCCCATTTATACACCAGATCTTGTGTAAATAGAAGTATTGGGATTTGATGAGTTTGACAGGAATTGGATAATATTATTATTCAGTATTTTGACACCTTTGTGGGGAGGTACCTGATGGAGTGGTCCTATATCGCCCATTTCTGAACTCGATCTAACTTTGACAATAATTTTACGATGGACGACATCGGATACTCCCTTTGAGAGTTATCGTGAGACAGACAGATGGCTGGACGGACATCTCTAGATCGACCCCAAATGTCCTGAAAAATAAAAAAATATTTTTATAACGAAATCAACAATTCGTTCCTAAAATTTATTTTAAAAAATGTTCTGAAATTCTTTTGAAAAATCTCTTAAGGAGACATAAATTCTGCCATTAAAAATCCTTTAAAAAATCTCTAAAAATATCAACAAATCTGGATTTGTACCTGCAATTTCTGTTAAAAAAAATATCCTTTGCCATTCATCATTCTTTCCCTGAAGTTCCATGATTTTTGTCCTAAAGTATCTTTAAAGGCGTCCTTAAAAATCCTTCAAATCAAAAGTTATTTTAAAATATATTCTGAAAAAAATCATAAATTCTGCCACTAAAAATCCTTGAAAAAAAGCTCTAAACAATCTATAAATCTGAATTTGTACCTGCAATTCCTGTAAATTACCAAATTATATTTACCATTCATAATCCTTTACCTGAGGTTCCATGATTCTTGTCCTAAAATTTCTTTAAAGTCGTCCTTAAAAATCCTTCAAATCAAAAGTTATTTTAAAATATATTCTTCAATTTCTTTTAAAATTCATAAATTCTGCCTCTCAAAAAATCTACAAATCTAAATTTGTACCTGCAATTCCTGTAAATTACCAAATTATATTTACCATTCATAATTCTTTCCCTGAAGTTCTATGATTCTTGTCCTAACATTTCCTTAAATATGTCCTTAAAAATCCTTTAAACCAAAAGTTATTTTAAAATATATTCTGCAATTCCTTTAAAAAATCATAAATTCTGCCACTAAAAATCCTTGAAAAAAGTTCTCTAAAAATCTAAATTTGTTCTGCAATTTCTGTAAAAATATCCCCTAAAATTAATAATTCTTTCCCTGAAACTCAATGATTCTTGTTGTAAATTTTTTCCAAAATGTCCATAAAACATCCTCCAATTCGAAAATTATTTTAAAAGATGTCCTGAAATTCGTTTCAAAATTCATAAATTTAAGTTTAAATCCTTAAGAATTCATGAAAATACTTTAAAAAAATCTCTCAAAATATCTGCAAATCTGAATTTGTCCTGCAATTTCTGTAAAAATATCCTTAAAAATCCTCATTCCTGTCCTGTACTGGAATACTGGAAGTACTGGAATACCCTTAAAAAGGTCCTTTTTACCTTAATGATCCTGAGTCGCTTAAAAATCAACGAAATTTTCTCACATTTAAAATTCCGAACTTGCTTTTACACTAAAAAAAAACTTAAAATTCAAGCACTGATGTTGTATTTAAAATTATTTTGCAAAATTCAAAATTTCGTCCCTGAAGTTCCTTAAAAAAATAATGTCTGATAAATATTGTTCAGAATTATCTACAGAAATTCATCATTCTTTTCATTCAACGAAAATTTCCTAATTACCCATAACTAATGAAAAAATGTTTCCTTTTTATTTTCTTTACAGATTTTGGGTCCAAAACTAATGGAAAACAGAAAACCCTTTGAATTGCGCAAAGTTTTGGTCGTCTACAATTTCCTACAGGTCTTGTTCAGCATGTATCTGTTCTATGAGGTAAACAAACGAATTGGAACACGTTTTCTAGATGGGAACCAGTTCCGCATAAAATCAATAATAAACTAATGGCAAATCCATTTGTTTTGCAGGCATCAATTGGTGGTTGGTTAAATGGCTATAGCTTCACGTGTGAACCTGTCGACTATTCATATTCACCCAAAGCAATTAGGGTAAGTGAGATACGAAAACAAAAAAAAACAAAAACCACTCGAAATATTTTAGAACATTTAAGAAAGTTCCGATCTTCAGTGCCAAAGAAAAGTTAAATATTGAATCATGATGATTTGCGTATTTCTTTGTTTTATTGTTGTATTTAAATTTTAGTAGCGTCTTTTAACAAATTAGCATATTTTTTGTGGTAAAATGAGCAAGCAAGCCGCAAGTTTGTGATTAGCTGATGCTTTTGATATTTGGGTATATCCGCTTAAAACGTTGATGGCACAGTCGTCACGCCGTCTGCTTTACCAAGAAACCGAGCCTTAGGCAATAAAAATGACACACCAGAAGATTTGGGTGATCATTTCTCTCCAGAATCGTTTGAAGAAAATTGGGAAGGGGGGTGTAAAGATAGAAGTTCAATAAAAAAAAGTTGTTATTGAACTTTGATCACCATAAGTCTGAAAATAATAATAATTTTCAACACGTGTTTCTGCATGGATGAATGGGTTTGAAGATCATATAACGTGGATATACTTTAAAGGGCAAATAAATAAAAGAATGTTTTAAAATAAAATATTAAATATTTTTAAGATATTTTTTAAATATCAAAGCCATGATTTTTTTTATAAAATTAAAAAATATAAATAAAATAAAAAAATATTTTAAAAATCCACGTCCATAAAAAAAACATTTTTGATATTTCTTAAAAAAATATTTTCAAAAAATTATTATTTTTGTTGGATTTTTTTAATAATTATTTGTAATATTTGTGATTATTTCAATAATTAATTTTAATATTCGTGGATTTTTTAAAAATAATTTTTAATATCCGTAGACTTTTAATATTTGTTGTTTCCCTCCACACTACAGAGGGTATACAGGGTGAGGTAAAAAAACTGCAACAAAGTCAAATGCCACAATTTTCACATTTTTTATTTAATTTTATTGAATGAAAGCAAAAAAGGTCGAACATAGCATCAAATTTTGAAATATGTTTAGATTTTTTCGAACTGGCCACCTTTGGCACGAATTATGGCCTTCAAACGGCCAATGAAACCGTCACACGCTGCCCGAATGTTGCTCTGTTGTATTTTTGGATATAGGAGACCACTATTTCTGGTACCTCCATCAAAACAGCTCAAAATTTTGAATAAGCATGAAGCTCCTAAAACAGGAAAATTGAAAATATAATTCTTTTCAATTCGACACATAGCAATGTTTCTTTCAACAAAAGAGCAGGTGTGTAGATGAGATATATCGGACCACTCATTCTGATACCTCCTGCACAAAGGGTCAAAATTTTGAGTAACTATGAAGTTCATAAAATGAAAAAATAGCATCCGATTCGGCACATTTCAATATTTCTACCAAAGAAGTATCAGGTCTATTGATGGGAAATATCGGACCAATCCGTCTGATATCTCTCCCACAACAGGTCAACTATGACTTTCATAAAATGCAAAATGATTACTTTCAAATTCGGCACATTTCAATATTTCTACCAGAGGAGTAGCAGGTGTAAAGATGGAAAATATCGGACCAATCTCTCCCACAACAGGTCAAAATTTTGAGTAACTATGACTTTCATAAAATGCAAAATAAGCATCCGATTACATTCAAATTCCACACATTTCAATATTTCTACCAAAGAAATATCAAGTGTCAAGATGGGAAATATCGGACTACTCCTTCTGGTTTTTTGGTCAAAATTTTGAATGACTATGACTGCATAAAATACAAAATAAGCATCCGATTACTTTTAAATACGGTACATCTTAATATTTCTACCAAAGAAATATTAGGTGCGAAGATGGGAGATATCGGGCCACACTCTTTGGTACCTCCCTTACAAAGATGTCAAAATGTTGAATAAATATGGCTGTCATCAAATGCGAAATAAGCATCCATTTAATTTTAAGCTCGGCACATCTCAATATTTCTACCAAAGAAGTATCAGGTGTGAAGGTGGAAAATATCGAACAACTCCTTCTGGTACCTCCCCCACAACTGGTCAAATTTTTTCTTCACACCATCCCACACATCCTAATATTTCCCTTAATACAAGGTCTAGCGAGAACATGAAATAGATTGAACCATTTCCTTTGGTATCTACCGCACAACGGGACGAAATTTTGAACAATTATAACTCTCAACAAATGCGACATAGACATCCGATTCTCTTCGATTTCACACATCCCAAATTTTTTATTAACACAAGATTTGGCGTAAAGATTTGATATATGGTCCTCTCCTTCTGGCACCTCCCACATAAATTGGTTACAACTTTATGTAACCAAAATGCTTACGAAATACGAAATAAGCATTTGATTCTTTCTAAATTCTATACTTCCCAATATTTCTATTAGCACATTATCTATAATATCTATATCATCCCCCAAATGGGTCAAAAATTTTGAATAATCAAAACGGTCATAAAATACGATATGAAGCGCCACCTCTTTTGGTATTACCCTCAAAAAAAGGTTAATATTTTCAATATTTATATCTGAGGGCTATAACATCCCCCAAATTGGTGCAAATTTTGAATTATCAAAACGGCCATAAAATACCACCCCTTCTGGTACCACCCTCAAAAATGGGTGAATATTTTCAATATTTATATGTGAGGGCTGAAGATATAAACAATGTGTTTTAATCGGGCTTCGAGAACTTTGTGATTTCAAAAAGCCAATGACTTATTTCAAAGATATGTTCACGAAAGCATACCAGCATCTAGTTTGTATAAGTTCTTCATCTTAACCTTCGACCCATCGAACCACCACTCACTTAGTTTATCCAAACCGAGATTTTCGTTTTTTTTTTTTTTTTTTGCATAGAAACAAAATAAATTATTTCACAACAACTTTACATAAATTATTAATGATTTGAAATTGTTACGTTTTATTTTTTATTCGATGTCAAACGAAAGTTTTGCATCATCTCAGGTTTTGCAAAAAATTAAAAATTATAATTTATTTTAAATGAAAATTATTATGTTTTTTTTTATATAACATGAGTTTGCAAAATTTTGTCACCCAGAGCCCGTATCATCGCCAGCATCAACCCTCCAAAACTCAGTCGAGATGATGGTCAATGACCATCACATCATGTCGTTCGATCACTTTCCGTGTCTAGGTGAAAGTCTTTTGACCCGAATTATAAATTTAAAATAAACAATGAAAAAAATATCGCGGTTTATATATTGATTTGGGTGATTTTTATCTGTTGGTACCAACAAATAGATGTCATAAATTATGTGCATAAATTATAAATTGATTGACAAATGTTGTGAATTACATAGATGTGAATTTATACTTATTTAGGTGTGATTTTTACATTGATTTAAGAAAAAAAAAATAAAGAATATATATTTTTCTTCCGGAAATTTCTTTAATAAAATACTCTTAGAAATTAACGATTCTGTATACGACATTTCATTAAAAATGTTCTTAAAAAAATTCATTTCTAAACTCATTTTTTACAATTTCTCGATTTTTTAACTCATATTTCCACGAAAAAATCCTTAAAAATTTTCTATTATGACCCTTTTTAAAAATATAAGAAAACCAACCATATTAACTTTCATTGGCCTTTAAAAGATTCCTTAAATGATATATTCTTAACAAAATCGCGATTATAAATGTTTTTAAAAGACTTTAAACAGTATCAGTTGGTTTTTCCGACAGATATATAGCCTACCTGATCTTGTGTTACTAAAAACATTGGGATGTTCCAAGTTTGAAAGGAATCGGATGTTGATTTCAAATTTTATTAGCACTTTGTGGGGGAGGTATCAGAAGGGGTGGTCCGTTCTATCAGTACCAGATTTTGCGTTAGTAGAAATATTGAGATGTGTAAAATTTGTAAGCGTTTTGATTATTCAAAATTTCACCCTTTGTGGGGGAGGTACCAGAAGTGCGAAATATTTCGTCTTCACATCAGATCTAGTGTTAATAAAAATATTGGGATGTATTGAGTTTGAAATGAATGGGAGTCTTATTTTGGCTTTTATTAGCTTCATGGTTACAAATGTTAACTCTTAGTGGAGGTGTTACAAGAAGGGCTAGTCCCTTCTATCCGTTCTCCATACTAGATCTAGTGTCAGTGAAAATATTATGATGTGCGAAATTTGAAGACAATTGGTCCTTTATTTTACATTTTATAATAGGCATAATTATTCAGAATTTTGACCGGTTGGGGGAGGTACTTGCTACAGCCCACTACATTTCCAATATTCTCCATTTCCTCACCTGACCTAGCATTCATAAAAATATTAGGGTTCACAAATTTTGCACAAAATTTAATGATCCTTTTTTGTTCTATACGCTATTATTATTTTACATTTTTTTCTGTGAAAATGTTGATCTTATGAGGTACCAGAGCAGTGGGCCGATATTGCCCATCTCGGAACTCGACCTAGGTTTGTTAATAAAATTACGATGTACCAAGTTTGGACCAAATCGTGTGCATCAACCAGCCGGTCAGACAGCCACCACCACCAGGCCACCCTAGATCGACATCAAATGTCCTAAAAGGGATTTGATCCGAAGTGACCTAGAATCTAAGATATATGCTTTATTCTGTGACTTATTTGTGTAGAATATTTGTTATTTTAACACCTTCCTCCTTAAACGTTATTTTATGTTACATTCAAACATCAACTCGAAAAAACCTCCAAGGAAAAATTGATCAAAAATAAGGGATTTTTTCGATTTCTTTTCCTTTTTGGAATATTGATGCCAACATTTTTTTTTTTTTTTTGGCATGCAATAGAATTACAGATTTTTGTTCTTTGGTTACTTATAGTGAAATTTGATGAAGAATATTTGTGTCTTTAACGTCATTCTTTAAAAATGATGCCTTGTAGGAGATTTGTGCATAAATTCACACCAAGTACGGCTTTAACCCTAAAATGTGTTTTTAATATATATGAATTCCTGGCGTCTAGGCTCTTGATGTCTTCTGGTACTTATAGTATAATTTAATGACGAATAATTTTATAGAATATTTTGAGTTGCTAAGATCCCGTTTGAAGGGATTTTTTTAACCTTGTTTTGAAAAAATGGACCAAAAAGACCCCTTTTTGGAGGGTCTTTTATCTATTATCTGCAATATTGCCGAAGACACTATAAACCCAAAATCAAGAGATTCCAAGGAATCTTAATCGGAAAATATCTAAAAGTGTGGTCTTGCGAGGTAACTTTGCGATGTAAACGTTCACAACTCCGATACACGTGTCTTCTGTTTTAAGCTATAATTTAATAATCAGCTGAAATTTCTCTGCAATTATTTTTTTTTTTTTTTTTGCTGCAGATAGCGATTCTTGTTACATGCCAAATGTCACAAATGTGAGCTGTGTCAATATCGATTAGCATTGCGAAAATATTTCAAAATGTGTAAAACCTTCAGCATTTCGAAGCTTTGTAAATAAAAAGACTAGAGAGGAATGAACTAAAACATAAGAATGTAGCAAAAACAATTATATATTTGATTTATTTATTTATTTTTTTTTTTTTTTTTTGAATATTGAAACATGTGAAATTTTTAAAAATAAAAAAATTAATAAAAAATGTGCCTATATAGATGAGCTTTCTGGCCGGGGATAGTTAGTTCTGCATTTGATGAAAAACTTATGTAATTTTGGAATATTTTTATTCTATGCTAGGATTCAAATACTGAGAATTCAAAGCTCCCTCAAAGCGCCAAATCCGTACTTTGTTCCATTGCAATACTATTTTTTTTTTAAATAATTTAATTACACAATGTAAACAAATATCAAACCAAGCCGTCACAACAAAAAAAAAAAAAAAACAAATCGCATGAATATAACTAAAATCAATATTTGGAATATCGGAATTTTCTTAGACAACTAGCCAATAAATATTATTATTTAATAATCACTATTATTAAACATTCAAGCATTGAATTACGTGAGAACAACAGACTTTTATTTGTATAGACACTTTCAATTATCTGGCATTTGTTTATTAATTAAATTCTTATTTTTTTCTCTCTATCTTTCATTACAGACGGCGCGTGGTTGCTGGTGGTATTTCTTCTCGAAATTCACTGAATTCTTCGATACCTTCTTCTTTGTGATGCGTAAACGTTACGATCAAGTCTCCACGTTGCATGTGATTCATCATGGCATTATGCCTGTGTCCGTATGGTGGGGTGTTAAATTCACTCCCGGTGGTCATTCGACATTCTTCGGTTTCCTCAACACCTTTGTTCACATTATCATGTACACGTACTATATGTTGGCTGCCATGGGACCCAAAGTACAGAAATATTTGTGGTGGAAGAAATATTTGACAGTGTTGCAAATGGTCCAATTCGTTTTGGTCATGATCCATTCGTTCCAATTGTTCTTCAGAAACGACTGCAACTATCCAATTGGTTTTGCCTATTTCATTGGAGCCCATGCCGTTATGTTCTATTTCTTGTTCTCCGATTTCTACAAGAAGTCCTATTTGAGAAGGGATGCCAAGGTAAGTTAAAGAGAGAGAGAGAGAGAGAGAGAGAGAAAAATACAAGTTTTGTTTGCAGGGTCATAAAGAAGCTTTAAAAGGGTTCTACTTTTTACAGAGTTTTTGAAACTCTTCTATTATTCAAAAAGGCTAACCAGGGTAACCTCTGAGGATTGTTAGATGTCCTTCAATTCAATAAAGAGTTTCACCAGAACTATTGTAAATCGAAAACTCTATTTGTAATTTGAAACATTTCAATTGTAATTTGAACATTTCATTCTGAATTTCGTTAAATTATTTTCGAAACTGGAATACTTCAATTGAAAATCGAAATATTCAATTTAAATTTGAATAATTTGAAGTGTTTCTTTCTATAAAAAAGCTTTTGCAATGTGTTATATTCTAATTCTAGCTTTGGTAGGGCTAAACACTCATCGACAAGCTTTCCAAGTTCTTCTATCAAAAAAAGAGCTTTTAATTGTCTTTCTCCATTGAAGAGTTTCAGAAGTATATTTTATCTATGGAAGGGATCCGATAAAGCTTTTAAATATTTCCTATCAATAAAAGAGCTTTCGAATGTCCTCTTTTCATAGAACAGCGTCAGAAGGCCATTTAATCGTAAAATATCCGTTGAAGAGCTCTAGTAGGGCATAAACACACATCGACGAGCTTTCGAAGCTCTCATATCAATAACATAGCTTTCGATGGTATTTTTTTTTTTCTATAGAAGAACTTCAGAAGGATCTTATCGATGGTAGGGTCCCAAAAAAGCTTTGAAGATTTTCTATCTACAATAGAGCTTTTAAATATCTCCACTTCATAGAATAGCTTCAAAAGGTCATCTTACCATAGAGTCCTATTCATATAAGAGCTTTCGATGGCGTTCTTTCCATAGAACTTTTTTAGAAGCTCCGTAAAAGAGCACTATCCAAGAGATTATCAGAAGAAGATGATCTTTAAATAATATTTTCCACCTTGAACTGAGCTTCTGAAAGTCTTCTATTCCAAAGAATGCTTCAGAAATAATTTTAAAAGAGCTTTTAAAGTTATTAATTTTTTAGTAAAGCCTAAGATTGTCTTCTATCTTTGAAAGAGCTTTCGATTACCTCCAATGAGAAGGTCTACCGACAGTAAAAAAACGTTATAATGTAAAAGAGCTTTAAAGAAGTTTTTCTATAAAAGCTTCTGAAGTCATTATAAAATATCTTTCGAAGGTCTTCTACCTCTAGAAAAGCAATAGATGAACTTATCAAGACATTCAACATTTAAAAGGGCAATCAAAGCTTTTCTTGTGTAGGCCACCCGTGGAAAATCGATCGGAACCTCTAAGCTTTTAAAAAAGACTTTCACTGAAGCTTTTTGACGAAATTTATTTGAAAAAAAAATGACATTTTTGATTATGACCTTTCTACTAAGTTTCTCAATGAAAAAAGCCTTATTCGAAGCTCTTCAAGAGCTTCAAGATCCCTTAAAGTCTTTTATTGATTTTTGATCCTCTTCTGCATAAACTTTTGAAGATTTCTTAGGAACTATCTCCAAGATCCTACATAAAAAACGACATCCGAAGTTTTTTCGTGAAATGAAGACTATCTAAGCTTTTATATAAAACAGCCTTTCTCCGAAGATCTTTCCGAAGTTTATCTATAAAAAGTAGAACTGTTCATCTATAAAAAGTAGAACTTTTTCAATATGGTATTTTTACTAAGCTTTTCAATAGAAAGTTGCCTCCTTCGAAGTTCTTCAAGATTTTCTATTGGATAGACGATACCTTGGGTCCTTCAATTGATTCTCCAAGAAAAACTGGTACCTTTGAAGATCCTTCATCCTTCCAGACCCTTCATTGAAACGACCTCCGAATTCATCTAAAACAAGTAAAAAAGTATCGGTCGGTTTTGCCGACAGATGTATACCCTCAGCCCTCTTCACCCTCTATGGAGTGGGTTTTTAAAAAATGGGTCAATATTGTTTATTTCGTATCGGAAATAGATAAATCAATTGTATAGAATCGCTGAGTTGTTTCGCAATTTATGACAGATAAAAGTATTAAAAATTGTGTCCCTTTGTGGGTGAGGTACCAGCAGGTGTTCGCAGATATATAGCACAACAGATCTGGTGTTAGCAAAAATGCTTGTATGTGTGAAATTTGAAGAGAGTTGGATTCTTATTTCGCTTTCTTTGAGCGTTATGTTTTTCAAAATTAGATTATTGCTTCCCTTTCTGTGCAGAAAATATATATTTTTAAAATTTCGACCATTTGTGGGGGAGGTACCATCTTTACACTAGACCTAAAATGATTGGAATGTGTGAAATTTGAAGACAATCGGACTCGTACATTACATTTTATGAGAGTTGTAATTATTAAAAATGTTTACCATTTGTGGGGGAGGTACTTGATGGAGGGGACCGATATTGTCCATTTTCACTCCTGACCGAGAACTGACGCAAATATTAGTATTTGCAAAGTTGGAGCAAAATAGGATTATCCTTTCTCTTTCTGTGCAAAAAATATATTTTTTGCAAATTTCGGCCTTTTGTGGGGGAGGTACCAGAAGGAGTGGACCGATATTGCTCATCTTAACACCAGACCTTCGGTTAATATAAATATTGGGATGTGTGAAATTTGAAGACAATCGGACTCGTACATCACATTTTATGAGAGTTGTAATTATTAAAAATTTTGACCATTTGTGGGGGAGGTACCAGAAGGAGTGGACCGATATTGCCCATCTCCGAACTCGATCTAAGTTTGACAAAGATATTACAATGTACCAAGTTTGGACCAAATCGGATACTCCCTTCGAGAGTTATCGTGCGCACCAGCCAGCCAGACGAACGGACGGACGGATTGACATCGCTAGATCGACTCCAAATGTTCTAAAACGGATTTGGTCCAAAGAGACCTAGGGTCTAAAACCGTTATTTCGACTAGGCACGTTTTGACCGTATCAAATGATATATACCCTCTGTAGCCATATGGCTGAGGGTATAAAAAGGTGACCTTCTCGGAAATGATCTTAGTCCTAAGCTTTTTACTAAAGCATTTTCTGTAAATAGAAGTTTTTCCCTGAAGTTCCTCTATAAAAAGAGGACCTTCTCTTATAAGGTATTTCTCCAAAGCTTTTCAATTAAAAACAGACATTCGAAGCTTTTCAGGGGTTTCTAAATTTCTTTTTTGATAGAAGATCTTTTCCGTGGATAGTATACCTTCTTCTAAATGGAACCTCTGCTGCCTTTTCTCATTCAGTTTTGCTTACTAATTTTTCTTCTCTCTTCCATCTTTCAGGAAAAATCCAGAAAAGCCTATGAAAATGGCCTCATGAAGGCAGCCATGGAAAATGGTAAACATGAAATCAATGGCAACACCAAATATGCCCAATCGATCAACAACAAATTGGACGGTTATGCCGAGACGACGAGACAGAGAATAATTGCTGCTGCTGCTGGCAAAAATTAACGCCCGGAGAGAGCAGGAAGCACGTCCATCAACCCAAGCCATTTTTGTTGTTCCATTTGCAGAGATACAAAAAGCGGTTTACTTCGTCTTCATAATTTATTAATTTTTTAATAAAAAAAAAAACAAAAAAACACACACCAACCCTCCCCCCTCCAAATAATTTTATTTAGTTTGTAAAGAAAAAAAAAACAAAAACACAATTAGATTTAAGTTTGTATTGATTAAAAGAAAAAGAACAAATGAAAAATAAGAGAAATAATTTAAAATAAAGATGTGGAAAGATGTGAAACTTAAAATACAAAAAACGAAATCACAAGTCTCATATGTATTGACATTAGAAACGTTCCGTTCTCCTGCCGTTTAACAAAAAAAAAAAAACAATAACAAGAATAATGCTCATTAGGAAAATATATGAAAAGAAGAAATTGAAATGTTGAAAATGTATGTTTGTTGTACATTTATTTATTTATTGTAAGGGTAGAGGAGGGATAAGGCCGTCAAAGACAGTATATCAAAATTCAGAAAGAAAAATTGACGCCTGACGCTTTCATTGTGTCCATAACATTAAAGGCCAATCAAAAGTGTAAACGCCATCTGAAGTAATATTCGAACACTAAAATATTGACAATCAAGTGGCAGAAAATCCATGGCGCACCCTTGTCACAGCTGATTATTAGACTAGCTGTCAAAAAAAGTATATAAACCAATATTTAATATAAAGAAAATAAATTTTGATCTTTAGTCTGATTTTGAAGGCTTTATATTGGACCTTTTCAAGATTCATGAACAGTCCGAAGACTTATTTTTTTTGCTTTCAAAATATTTGTTACTTTTTCATAGATTGAAAAAAATTCAATTAAGTTTTGACAGCTCAAAGAAAATCAGCTGTTCTTCTTGGATGACCAAATAAATGAACCCATGGTAGAAGAATATAGGTAGACGCATCGACACATCTGCTGTGAAAATGAACCAATTTTGGAATTGAAAATATTGAATGAAAAATTATTTAAATTTAATTTAAAAATTTTCGACATATAAATGTTTCCAAGCGTTGATGCATCTACCTGTATTCTTCTACCATGAATGAACCCCGAACCTATCTATACAATAATTTAAAAATGCGACATACAACAAAAACATAAAACAACATTTAATGACAAAATCAGTATCTACTTTTTTCATGCCAAAGAAATTTGCCCCCCTTTATCTGTGGTTACGGAAAGTAGCTGTAGTTTTGTCTCAAATTTTGCCCCATATTTCCTCTTTTTTCAAACGCCAGGATGAACGTTGTGCCTTTTTTGTAAATATTCCATCGATTTTTTTTTTCAAATAAAGAGAAATATAACAAAAAGCAAACAACAACAACAAGAACAACGACAACAAATCACTGTAATATTTTCTATTTTATTTTATTTTTTATTATTATTTTAATTATTTTTTTTTCTCTGTTAGAAGTCTCTTTTTATTTGTTGTGTGTAATGGCAACTGAAAAGGACAAAACGCTTAATTTTGTGGTATTTGCAGTTTAATATATATATTTTTATATTGTATTTTTTTTTTTTTTTTAATTTAACTAAGAAATAATTGCATAAAATATTTTTGTAAAATGCTGCAATATGTATGTAGTATGTGTAGTTGTTTAAGTTAAACGTTTTAACAAGTTAATGTGGCGAAATGCAATTCAATTAAATTTGTAATTTTGTTATAATTTCAAAAACAACTTGTAATACTAGATTTTTTCCATAGAAAATAAACGTTTTGAAGATATGAGAAAATGTGAGAAAAAAAGCGAAAACTTTTTGGTGTATTTTTTATTTAAAAAAATCCGTAGAAAATTGAAACCTCTTATATGGCTTATGTAGGACCACGAAGACGTGTAAATGTTTGTTATAGGCTGTAGTAACCATTAGGAACATTTTATACAAAAGATGAACCAATTCCGGTAAAAATGTCGCTAAAAATCATTAAAATAGCGAATATCGGGAGGTATCTTTATATGGGGGCTATATGAAAACGTGGACCGACATGGCCCACTTACGAATATTTTTAGCTGTAATTTTAATACCCTCCACAATTTGTCAATTTTGAAATAAATAAAATCCGTTAAAAATTCTCTTAAAATCTTAAAAATACCAAATGTAGCCGTCATATAAGGGTCTAAACGATGACGTGGTCCTGCATAGGCAACTTTTGTCATAAGGCATTACAATATTCAAACACGAAACTTGAAAAAAAAAATCGGTGAATAATGCAGCTAAAATCATCAAAGTACCGAATATCGGGAGGTACCGTTATATGGGGGCTATACGAAGACGTGGACCTGCACAGGCAATTTTCTGTCTTAGGCTGTAGTATCTATTTCGAACTTCAAATACCAAATTTGAAACAATTCCGGAGAATAATGTTGCTAGAATCATCTAAATACCGAATATCGGGGGTTACTGTTATGTGGGGGCTGTACGAAGACAAGAACCTGCATTTGCGATTTTTTTATGGGTCGTAGTAACCATTACGAACTTCAAATACCAAATTTGAAACAATTCCGGTGAATAATGTCGCTAGAATTATCTAAATACCGAATATCGGAGGGTACCGTTACATGGGGGCTATACGAAAACGTGGACCTGCACAGACAATTTTCTGTCATAGGCTGTAGTACCCATTACGAACTTCAAATACCAAATTTGAAACAACTCCGGTGAATAATGTTACTAAAATCATCAAAGTACCGAATATCGGGAGGTACCGTTATGTGGGGGCTATACGAAGACGTGGACCTGCATAGACAATTTTCTGTCTTAGGCTGTAGTATTCATTACGAACTCCATATACAAAATTTAAAACAATTGTGGTGAATAATACCGCTAAAATAATCAAAATACCGAATATAGGGTATTATCGTTATATGGGGGCTGTACGAAGACGAGAGCCTTCGTACCCAATTTTTTGCTACAGTTCGTAGTAACCATTACGAAATTAAAAACAATTCCGCTAAAAAATGTCGCTAAATTCATGAAAATACCTACTATTGTGAGGTACCGTTATATAAGGCTATACGAAAACGTGGACCGACATGGCCCATTTACGAACTGAACTGCCTACTGGTGAAGTATGCATGTATGCAAAATTTTAGCCTTCTATCTGAATATCTCAAAAGATAGCTTGATTACAACAGAAAGACGGACATCGCTAGATCGTCTTAGAATTTTACGCTGATCCAGAATATATATACTTTGTAGGGTCTATTATGAATATTTCGAGGAGTTATAGTATAGAGTATATAGTTAAAATAATGAAATACGATGGGTTATTGCTGTAAGTCTTCAAACAACCCTTTAAGCTCGCAACAGTGGAAAATTGCGTTATACCACTAATCATAAGATTGCGAGACAAATAATAACTACCTATCTCCCTTGTTAAAAAAAGGGTCATGGGTTGATTTGGAAGTAGTTACAAATACCAACAAGTCAAAAACCATTAAGTTTGGCCGGGGAGAACTTTTAATACTCTCCACCATTGGGTAAAGAAAACATTTTTATATAAATGTATCTGAATTCAAACTTCATATACCAGTAAGTCCGTTTGTACAATGCCATTGAACTTTTCAAAAAACAATAAAGTTTGTGAAGCCGTTATATAGGTCCATACCAAAACGGGAACCTCTGTAGACAATTTCATACTTCAAGGACTGTTTCGTGGATAAATGTGACTAGGATTATCAAAATACCGAATATAGATGTTGGAAAACGTGGACGTAAATATTCAATGTTCTGCCATCGGAACTAGAATTCATTATGAACTACAAATACCAATTTTTAGACAAATCTGTTGGAAAATGTAGCAAAAATCATCAAAATACTGAATATCTGGAGGTACCATTATGCGGGGGCTACCAAAAACGTGGACCTATACATACTATGTTCCACCACAGCAGCTGGATCCCATTACTAGCTACAAATACCATATTTTAGAGAAATACGAGGAGAAATGTGGCAAAAATCATCAAAACAGCGAACATTGGGAGGTACCGTTATATGAGGGCTATACAAAAAGATAGACCTATACATAAAATGTTTCGCCACCAAAGGTAAAACCCATTATGACTTACAAATACCAATTTTTAGACAAATTCGTGGGCAATATCGACCCACTTTATCAAGTACCAAGAGTCAAAATTTGGAATAATTATAAATCTTATAAAATGTGAAATAAGCATCCGATTGTCTTCAACGTCTCAATATATCGACCAACACAAGATCTGGTATGAAGAACCATGACCATTTTTTTTGATACCTTCCCCACAACGGATCAAAATTTTGAATAACCATGAAGTTTAAAAACCCGGAGGAGAGCATCCGATTCCTTTCTAACTCGGCACATCCCAATATTTCTACCAACACAAGATCTGATGTGAAGTTGGAATGTATCGGTCCACTCCTTCTGGTACCTTCCCCACAAGGGAGTCAACATTTTGAATAACCAAAACAAAAAGAAATAAGAGAAATGAACATACGATTCATTTTAAACTTAAATTGGCCAACTTCTTCGGAGCCTTCTTCATTAAAAGTCAACATATTGAATAACGCTGTAAGACAAAATTAATTTCTTTTCCAACATTTACAGGAAAAAACCAGTAGATTGTAAAAGTAGGGCTAAAAATAGAAGACAGTACATCCCCACCCTTAATTCTTAAAATCCTTACATTTTAAAGTCTTTGGCAATGGTACCGACAACAATATAAGAATTATTTCGATAAAAAGAAATTATCCCTCAAGCGAGCCAACATAGGGGTCCGTTTTCAAAATATGGTTAAAAACTTCAAAATATTCTATGAAATTTTTAAAAAATTACATTCGAAATTTATATCGAAATTTAAAATTGAAGCACATCTAACAAATTCACGACACTGCTTTCATAATTCACTGTCCAATGGTTAATCCTACACCGTAGAAAATTACACGAGGATTAGATAGTACGCGGTTTATATATGAAAGAGTTTCGGGTCAAACTTTATTAAGGTCTTCATATAGACTTGGCCATATACCAGAGAAAGTTAGTTTTAATTAGATATGAAAAGATAGAGCCTTGGTTTAATTCAAGAATCGTTGGTGTAAAGAAGGGTTCATATATATTTTAAATTTCATTAAATGCGCAGGCTATAAACCTATTTCATTTCTATACGAACCATCATCCCTTAAAAAAATAGATAGATACATGCCAAGGCAGACGGACATGTTAAAAACGTCTTCGAATTTTACAACGATTAAAAATGGGGTCTTAAATGATGTCAAAGTAATGAAATAGAAAACCACATTTGTTTTGCCTACATTTAAGGGAATGGTTTTATAGAAAAATTTGAAACATCTGTATACACGTGCATGTTAAGGAACAAAGCTAACAACCGGATAGCACCATCTATTGATATTTTCTGAGTGTGTCTTAGAACATTCTATACGACTTTGTACGTTCGATTTGTTGTACAATAAATTGATCAACTGACAAAAGGTATAAAGGTAACTAATATATCTTACAACAGATGGCGCTTGTGAAAAAGTTAAAGCCAATAAAATTAATTTGCAATTATGCGAATTGCATATAACCATTGTTTTATTCAAGATCCTGCAAGAATCTAATTATGACTTCATTGGCATTATTATTCAAATTATTTATCATTTGAGGGGAGTAGTGCGCCAATATTTTCTATGGTCACTCCTGCTTTAAGTCTGATATAAATATAACAAGTAAAAAAGCATTAAGTTCGGACTGAACTTTTAATACCCCCCACCTTAGGGTAATGGAAACATTAGAACCAATTATGACCCACAAATACCAATTTTTAGACATATTCGTGGGAAAATGTGGCAAAAATCATCAAAAGTACCGCTATCATCGGGAAGTACCGCTATATAGAGCTATACAAAAACGTGGACCTATACATACAATGTTGCGCCAACTAATTCCAATTTTTAGACAAATCCATGAAAAAATATGGCAAAAATCATCAAAATACCGAATATCGGGAGGTACCGCTATATGGGGGCTATACCAAAGCGTGCACCTATACATACAATGTTTCGCCACACAAACTAAGACCCATTTTGACCTACAAATACCAATTCTCAGACAAATCCGTGAAAAAAAATGTGGCAAAAATCATTGAAATACCGAATATCGGGAGGTACCGCTATATGGGGGCTATACCAAAACGTGGACTTATACATGCAATGTTTCGCCACCGGAGCTAGAACCCATTTTGACCAACAAATACCAATTT